GATGAACTCCTACGTATTCTTTAAGACCCAAGTCAATGTCCCTTTCTGCTAAGAAGCCCTCTCTAAATTCCCCAGGCTGAGTGGTCATTCCCTCTTGACTTTTCTAAAACTTCGTATACTAGCTGTGTCAATTTCTTTTATTTACAAAACTTTGTATACTTGCTGTCTCAATTTTTAAATATTTTTATGCACTCTTCAACTGACTTCAAGGGGACTTCTGCCCCCACCAATCCATTGCATCTAGTAACCTCCATGTGGCTAAATCAAGTGGACATAGTCAGTCTTCATCTTCCTCACACCTGAAACTATTCACTACCATCACCCCTTTTATTTTCTCTACTCCCTCTTCTTAAAACTCTCTTCCCTTGGCTTTCTTCATATGACAATCTGCTAGTCTTCTTTTATTTCTCTTTCTCAATCTTTTTTGTTGGCTCATCTACCACATAATCTCTAAATGTTGGAGTTCCTTAGGCTATGTCCTGGCTTCTTTCCCTTCTCACGCTCTGATCCCTCAATAAACAAACTCTTCCACACCCATGGTATTAATTAGCCTCCATATGATGACGACACCCAAATTTACATCTCCAGCCAATCCTCTCTCTCCTGAGCTCCAGACTTGCATTCAGAGCTGCCTATTCAATATGTTCACTTGGGGCTTCGCAGGTACTCCAAACTCAGCAGATTCAAAACTCCAATTGTTTTCTACTTGAGAGAACAGTACCTCTATCTATGAAATTAGCTAAACCAGAAACTGGCACTCATTATTGACCTACCTACCTTTGCTTTACCATCGCATGTAATTGGCCATTCTTCTGACTCTACCTTTTAAATATTTCTCACTGGTGACTTCTCTCCATCTGCACTGCCGCCCAAGTTGTCACCTGACTACGACAACGACATGACTCATCACCCTGCATCCACTCCCTTTCTACAGTGCAGGCAGAGTGCTCTTTGAAGTTTCCTTCATTCATTGAAAAATATTTATTGAGCCCCTACTAATGTGCAATTTGCGACTGAGACAGGCAGGTCCCTGATTTCCTGGAAGTCTATTTAAGAGGATATAATTGTGGGACCTAACTTAATTGTAATGGGGATAGGGAAAGTTTCCTTGAGAAAATAATGTTTCACCTGAGATCAGAAAAATGTGTAAAAAATTAGCTAGAGAAGGGAAAGAGCATTTTAGGCAGAAGGAACATCATGTACAAAGGTCCGGAATCAGGAAGAAGCATGATATGAGAAAACTGAGAGGGCAGAGAGTAAGAAAGTAAGAAGTAGAGTGGAGGAGATGAGGCTGGTACTGCTGGGCACAGCCAGGTCCGTGGCATAGTGACTCAAATTGGGAGGTATTCAAGGGGTCTCGGAACCCCCTCAAATGGCCTGCTATAGTGGATGAGTGTGTAAGTGAAGGTGTGAGCGTTTTTCTGAGGAAAGAGTACACAGCTTTCATCAGGATCTTACAGTCACCCTGTGACCCCATCTCCCACTTCAGAAATATAAAGAACCACTAATGGTGTATGAAAACCCAAAGTATGGACTTTAGACTTTATCCTAAAAGCAGTGAGATGCCATTGGAAATTATTAAGCCAAAAATGGCCAGATTGTAAAATCTATAGGACAGGGATTTTTATCTCTTTTGTCACCGATATGTCCCAAGCACCTACAACAGTATCGTGCACAGAACTGACACTCAGTAAAAAATTGCTGAATGAATAAATGTCTATTATGGCTATTGAGTGCATGTGTATTGTATTGTATTGCATTATGTTATATCACGTGCTTAATGCCTCTCCCTTATAAGACTCAATTCTTGAAAATGACTGTGTCTTATTCATCTTTATATTACTAGAGATACAGTAATAGTGCCCAGCACAGTGCTTGGCTTAATGTCAATATCCAAATGCAGTAATTTATTCAGCCAATAATGTAATAGCACCTAGCAGATGCCAGGAACTGGATACAAAGATGACTAATACAGTGTCACTAATCTCAAGGAGTTTACACTCTGGATAAGGACACTGGTAAGTAAGCCAGATAATGTAGTAAATGTTACAGAAGGGGTTAAGAACAGAACACAGTTCCAAGGGTTTCAGAGAAGGCCAGTAGGCAGGATAAACTCCAGGGCTGCCCCCAGGCCTGGTGATGAAGGGAGAGCAGCGCATGGGAGTGGGCATCAAAAGCAAAATCTAGAGGGGAGAGAATAGGGCCCATCTGGAGAATTGCAACTGGCCAAATAAGTCTGGGGCAAGATGAGGCTGCAGAGGTCGCCAGGGCCATGAAGAGTGGACTTTATTCTGAGGACAATGGAAAGTCACTAATGGGTGGATGATGAATCAATCAGAAGAGCCATGTGGTCAGATTTAATATAAGACAACTTAGGCCCGGGAGTGAAGAGTAGATTGGAGAAGCAGTAATAGTGGGAGTTCCGGTTCCAGTAATTGGGAGAGATGACGTTGCCCTGGGCTATAGTAGAGGCAGGGGAGATAGAGGAAAATAGATGGATTTGAGAGATATTAAGGGGATAGGATCAACGGGAATCAGTGACTAGTTAGATGTTAGGGTGAGACTGATGGGCAGGCCGTGTATGATGACTCCCAGGTTTTTAACTTGGACACCTCCAGGGGGATCACAGAGTGAGAACAGAGATTGGGAGCCGGCTTGAAGAGGCAGTTTGGACACATTGCATGTGAGTTTTCTTTGGAGCATCCACCTGGAGACTTTTAGTAAGCAGTTGATTACGCACATGGATCTGGAGTTGAAAAGGAAGATTATTTATATATGTGAATATATAAATGTGGTGGTCTTTGCTTATAAATGGGAACTGATTCCTAGGAGTCACACCCAGAGAGAATGTAGAGAATAAGGAAAAAAGATAGCCAAAGACAGTCACAAATATTCAAATATCAAACTTTTTTTTAAGTAAATGAATAAATAAATGACAAATGGAGTCATTTAGGAGAAGGGATCCTTCCAGTGATGTTCACATACTGCTACCAAGTCAGCTGGCTGTCCCATCTGTGTGAAAGGCAAAACCTGCTCTTTGGCTTCCCAAACGGAGAATGTTACCAAACCAAAAATGGGAAGAAAGTAGGGAAATATCATATAGCAGAAAGCATATCGCTAAGGCTTTGTTCAGACATGTATGTACATACTCTATTCCTGAGGCTCTTTCTATTGGTAAGTGAATCATAGTGGCCTCTCGTTAGTCTGTATACAAGAAACACTTTAAAAGCTATCTGTTTAAAATATAATATGATATACATTAGAAATCATTTGATGACCATCCGACGTTGCTCAAATCATCCGGATAATCTGTCTAGCCTGCCGAATGGCTGGCCCTTCGCTTGCCTGGTTGGCTTTGACAAATATGCAAACTCAGCCAGTTGGAATACACCTGAAAAATGTTTCTTTGTATAGATAAATTTGTTGGTTTATATAGATTATTCAAGTATGTTAGGAAGTGTCCCCTGACTGATCACATACTTGCTTTTGAACCCACTAGTTTTCTGTAAACCATTGAGAGTTCCTAGGCCTCACTGGCTTTGTTGAGATTGTATACATTATTTAAAAATATTTTGATTAACTCACTGCAGTAAAATTATATTATGAAACTTATAATAAAACTGGTTTACTTTTGAGCAAAGAACAAAAAGAGAACAAAACTATTAAACTGTCAGGTCAACTTGTCATTTGAGGATTTGTACATCCATCTTCCTTTCTTCCCAGTGTATCCAGACTTGATAGAAGTGAGGATAATTTCATTTGAATGAAAAGAATGCCCAGGCAACATTTCTAGAAAAGCTGAATTTTACCAAGTACTTTTTCTAACAGCTACACTGTAACAAATTCATCTCCTAGATAAAGAAGTTGGTTTTTGTACTTTGGGTTTTTATGTTACTATTTCCTTCTTTTAGAACAGACCCTGTCAAACTTTTTAATTAAGCAAACCAGTTATTTGATAAGCAGCTCTATTTATTTTCTCAGAGTTTTTTTTTTGTTCTATACGGTTGATGTCTTAGTTTAAGCTGAAGGGAATTTGTGATATCTGAGATCAGAGTTTCAAATGCTTTCTAAAACTAAAAGTTAGTGATTAAATTAGCCATCTGAGCCAGTCTTTGATTCTAAATGGTACTTAAATGCTTTATTGACATTCCCACTATTTTGTTGTAATAACATATCAATAATAATAATAATAATAATAACAACAGCAACCTGCATCTATAACGAAAGAAAAAAGGATAATGTTGGAACCTCTACAGATATTCTGATAAGTCTTGCCTAAAGAACAGGGGACATGGAAAAACCTTTCCTCCCATCTAGTGGCTAGAAAATATAAAAATGTCCTCTATGTTTTTCCTGGAATTTCAGGCATTAGAGATTGTCTGACAGATTATGATACATCTAGTCGTTCACTCAGTTAAGCAAAAATAAGTCCTAAAATCTTTACCAAAGCTGAGCCCCAACGGAGAATTATATATCTATGATGACTCACTAATCAACTTCCCTTTAATCAGTAACATACACTTTGTCTTCAAGCAGAACGAAAGGGCCATGGTCCCTCCCAATTCATTAATCTGAACCTATGATAGAAAAGATAAGGCTGTATGTTTCTGCCAACTGAAATTGGGACTTAAATTATATTTGCCGCTAAAGTAATCAGTGCCCTAGATCTCTCCTGACCCTTAATTGCTCCTTGTTGGCCCCACACCTTGACAACTCTTCCCTCAAGAGTTGGATGTGCTGAATTCACTAAAGAGAGCCAAGAAACTGTCCCTGTGAAACTGGCTGCCTCCAGGGGACCTCAGCTCCTGAAACTTGGAATACCAGACTCTGATACTGGCAGCAGGGCCTCTGGTGCAGGGCCAAACCAGCCCACAGGAAAGCAGGTTTGGATCCGTTATGCAGCTAGGCGGATTAATACTTGGTCTACCTGTCTTGGATGTGCCTTGTTGCAGACGTCAAAATCTCTGCTGAATTGTGCCTCTCTCTCGTGATTCTCACAGATTCAAAGAATGAATTTAGCATGCAGTCAGCAAAGTTCTGAGAGCTCCAGGAAGAAGAGGAAGGTCGACAAACCAGTAAAAGTCTTCACCCCGACAGAAAATGAAAGTTAAATGCCTTTGCTACAGTTATTCTAAAAGAATTCTGTTTTGCAGTAAACATTCATGAAGTGTCTTAGAAGGAAAGTTAAGTTCCTATCTTTTTTTAAATTTGTTGCTCAACTTTTTTTAGATGGTTAACTAAGTGCTAAATTATTGGGTAGTACACGGGTTCACTTTGCCACAAGGAAACAAGGTCACCAGGGCTGCCTTGGGATAGCATTACTTCAGGGCTAAGTTAGAGAGGAGACACCCTTCGTATTTATCAAAGAACCACAGGAGCTATTTTGAAAAGAAGTAAGCTGTTGTTCTCAAAGGAAAGAGGGTTTTCTTTGCATAATTAAACTCCCCAGGTATTTAGACTACTGTGAAATGTTTTAACTTGTTGTAACCTGTGTATTGGAATCACTCTATAGCTTTATTAGAATTCCCACAGAATTGCAAAGGATGTGTGTGGTGGTGCTTATCCAGGTATGATTTTTGTGTTAACTTCAATCACGAGCAAGATCAGCTAAGTGTTGGACCAAAATGTACTCTCCATGTCAAGTTCCTCATATCTGGCCCTGGCCCTGTTCTTCTGGACGACCCAACGCGGGGAAATAGGCTGCAATGCAGGAGCCTGGCTCCCTTCTTAGAGCCCATTTTGAATGCATCCCAACAGGCACTTCAGTTTGCACCTCAGTCTGTTACTTGCATATGATGTTACTAGTTCCCTTCTTATTCTGGAAGACTTTTGATAGACTTAATGATTAGTATTGAATGCATTATAAATAACTTAAATTGTTATTTTCATTATTTGTATAACATGAAATTTAATAATTTAAATGAATACAACCGATAAATTAAATGTTAAGCTTTCTGGTTAAATAAACCAAAATGCAAGGTATTTTTTGCTCGTCTTTTCTTCTTTACTTAGATCAATGTTTCTCCAAGTATAGTAAGGACATTAACACCTGGAGTGCTTGTTAAAATACGGGTTACTGGGCCTGCTTCATTTCTACTATATCAAAATCAAAGGGGGTGGGGCCCTATGAAAAACTCCCTGGATTCTAATGTACACAAAAGATCAAGAACTCGAGACCTCCGACCTTGACTAATAGGAGAATCTCTGGGGCCAGACATGCACTTTAGCCAGCAGAAGGCTGTGGTTACTGTAAGAGAGACAATAATTGAGGGAGCCTGCCTGCTCAGCACCTAGACGCTCACCCATTTCTGACTGCCCATAGGCAGCCTACAAACTGGGGTCTTGAATTGGACTGTACACCAGGGCCTGCTGGGAGGAACATTTGCTCTTCTCCCAGCATATTAAGTATATCACATAAGTTTACTCCGTCACTAAAAGGAAAAGGAGAGGAAAGGTCTTGGGCTTATTATATTCTTGATAGAATTGTAGCCTGAGTCATCACAATATTTTTTTTTTGAGAATATTATAGAGATTAGCTGTCTTCTAGAGGGATTAGGTTTATTTTGTGTCTCTCCGGAGGGTAGATCTAAGACCAAATTGTTGAAAGCTATAGGAGGTCAATTTGGCTCAGTATAAGGAATACACTTTTTAACTCCACAGGTTGTCAAAATTTTGAAATGGGCTGCCTTATGAGGTAGCGAGTGTATCTCCACTATAAGTGTTTGAACACGAAGACGTTTTCCAAAGACTCTAGGAAAGCAAGTGAGTTATACAAAGTAATTAGTCAGTCTGGATTTCAGAAGGAACCCTTTTATTTATAAGGGGAATTTAGCTCTCGATCTATATTTACAATTTCATAAACTTAGCCTAAGGTTGATTCTAGACTTTGACTTAATTCGTCTGGAAATGTTCTATAGTGATTTTATTGTTTCTATTAAACACGTCCCTACCCCAACAAACAGTCTATTATTGATGCCAGTAGGTGGCAAGTGTATGTCTGATGCAATGTGTGTTTGAGGCGGCAGAGAGAAATTGCTGGGCCTGTATCCTTGGCTGGGCACACAGGGAAGATCTGTAATCAGGAGGATCTGAGAACCATGAAAATGTGAACTAGCTGATTTTACACAGCAGAGCTCATATATGCAACCAGTTATCAAGATTGGAGGGTATTCAACTCTATTTAATGAATGATTTATTAAGAGGGGGAGAAATTGTTTCCCTAATATATTCATTTCTGTCCTTAATAGTAATGGAATGAGTAAATACAGATTCATCAAGAAGCTGGAACTTCAGTGAAAAGGATGAAAACTTAGACCCCACGTTGGGTAGCCTGAGCTGTCCTACCCTAGTCATTCCCTCACCCTGACTGTGCATGGTTCATCAGTGTGATTATAAAGATTAAATGATGATAACTTGGAAACTGGGACATTGATAAATTAAAAATTATGCAGGGGAAATTTGACTTTGGCTGTTTGGGGTTTTTTTTGTCTTTACAGAAAGTTGATCTAGCTGGAAAGAGATGGGCTAGGCTCTTGATTGCCTCCAGCCTTTGAAGCCAAGCACCAAAATGAAACCACACCTTCATTTCCCCTCTAGCAGGTCCCTCTGGTGTCTGGGTTCTTTCATTCTCCAGCTCACCTCTGCCAGGAAGAGGCTGGAAATAAGGCTGAACGTTTCGTCTCTATCAGAGTTGTCCTCACACAAGTTCAAAGTCGTGTATGTCGTTTTAAAATAACATTAACCATTACAGCCAGTTTTCATTGTGTCTTAAAATGGTCAACTTACAGTTTCAAACCCAACAGTACTGAATCCTTAGAGATTTACACAGATTCTTATAGTAAAAATAACTCTCAGTTATAATCATCATCATTAAGAAGGAGGCCCCAGATGATTAAAGGAGACTTAGCACATTCTGCTTGTAAGAGCTAAGCCAAGACCTTCCACATTGTATGATTCCAGATTCTATACAAATGAGCAAATGCCTTTGTTGACCCCAAATGTATCCTCTTTAGAAATAATGAGTTTTCATTTAAAAAAAGTACCGTATTTGCCAGCGTATAAGACGATTTTTTGGCCCTGAAAAATATGCCTCCAAGTGGGGGGTCGTCTTATACGCCAGGTACACTTCAGATAGACTGCCCATAGTGCTCGCCCCGTGCCATAGTGGCCTCCCGATGCCCGCCCACTTCATTCCACATACCGTTCAGGCATCAGCAGCTCTGCTGGGTGTATGCTCGGCTGTTATGCGATTTTGCTGTTATGCGATTTTACCACACTCGCAAAATCGCACACAGCCGACCATACACCCAGTATGATAGCGCAAAATCGCGAATCGCGATTTATGTATATGTTTGATTACATACAGCCTTGTGACAGTTTTCCTGCATGTCATAAGCATTTGAATATAAATATAAATGTTGAAATCAAGTCTGATATTGTTTTACCTTTTATTTGGTGTGTGGAAGGTGTGCGGAAGAGAGGGTAGTCTTATACGGCGAGTATATAACAAACTCTGTATTTTGAGTGGAAATGTTAGGGAGTCGTCTTATACGCCGGCAAATACGGTAATAAGTGTGATTTTGTGTTTGTGTAATGAGCCCCTGACTGAGACTTGCTATGCAGTTTTGAGTTTCTGTAGAGAATGAGGGCACCACTGAGGACCTTAATGGGCCCTTCGGTTATGCAATGGTAAAGCCAAGGTCCCATCCAGAAATGGCGAGACTTGAGGTACTCATCTGCTCATATAACTTCCCCTTGGGTGTACTATATCTCTGCAAATTGGGTTTTACCTTCTGGAAATGTCAAGGTTGTTGAGATTGACTCTTGTAGGGTGGGGTGGACTCACAAGTACTGCTAGCTGACTGGGGTGGGGCGCTGTAAGGAGACTGATGCCTGCAACTTGACTGGAAGTTGCATGTGTGATTTGCTCAGTAGGGGACCCTGGGAAAAAGTCTTATTAAACATTTTAGTCTGGTCTTAACTGTGACATGAGGTTCGGCTGTACAAGGGTTTCCCCATGGCAGGAGTGGAGAGGGAGACTAACTGAGATAGCTCGAAACACCTAAGACAGATGGGTGGAACACAGAACATCCCTTGGGGACTCAAATACTTAGGGACAGAAACCTGGAATAAGAGTGGACATTTTTGGGGGGAGGGGTGTGTGGGGAAGGGCGCTGTTATTTGGTATTGCAGGACTCCTGAAGGCTGGAGAAGGCTGGGGCATCTAGGTTCCATTTGGATAATTATTCATCAGCTCTAGGGTCAGCAGGCAAAGTTAGGTTTCCATCTTCCTTTTAGCGAGGTAAATAAAAGACCTAGTCTGCTGGCTTCAAAACCAGACTGCTGTTTTGTAGACAAGTTAGAAATTCTGTAGCCCTCAGTTTACTGCATCTGTAACAGGATAATAGTGGTATCTACCTGGTAACTCTGTCGTGAGGATTAAACAAGGCGATTCCAACAAACTGCCCAGCACGCTTGGCCTGTCTTCTCCCTTAGTCTCAGGAGCGCAGGGTCCTCCTGCTGCTTTTTGCCTCCTCACAGCTCCTGCAGCAGCATCCTCTCCGTGCCCAGGCTAGCACTTGAACCACACTCTGATCCTCTGTCCTGAGCACTCTCCCCACTCCTTTCCCCAAATTGAAACTCCCTTTCCCTCAAGACAGTTCAATGGAAGGGAAGCATCAAATTAAGCTTCATGTGCTGCCCCCTCCCACATTTGCATTTTTAAAAGAAGGTTGTTAATAAGAAAAATGAATCTCACTTAGGGAATGCAATATAAGAAGAGACTGAATAAACAGGGAAGAAGAAAGTCTAAGGAGAACTTTGTAGATGTCTTCAAATACATATGGGACTATCATGAAATGCAGGGAACTACAGACACAGCCTGTGTTGTTCCAAAAAAGCTGAACACAGACCCAGAGTAAAGAAGTTGAGGGTGGCAGATACGGGCTCAACATACTGAAAAACTTCTCCCTTGAGCACTAGCAAAGTGCGTGTCCCGTGGAAGGTGATCAACATTTTCATGGTTTTGTTAGAAATTTGAGCTATCAGCTGGTGACTGCTTCTAGTTGTAATGAGTTGCCTGTTACTAGAGGCATTCAAACCAAGTTGTCCAGGACGTTGTCCCTTTAAATAATAAGTGAATCAAATGCATAACGGAGGTGTCTTCCAGCTGTAAAATTCTGGGACACTTACTAATGGTAGAATTTCAACAGAGATATTTTGGAGCAAAAGAATATTTTACAAATCTTTTCCCAAAAGGCCGTAAAGTGGTTAAAACTGAGGATTCTGGAGTTAGACATTGTCTGGGTTCAAACCCTGGTCATCCTGCTTACTAGCTGTGTGACTCTGGATGGGTTAGTCACTCCCTCTGTACTTCAATTTCCTCATCCATGAAATGGGGGCCATAATTGTGTCTTCTTTACAGAGATGATGTGAGAACTAAATGAGTTAATGTAAGGAAAGCACTTAGAAGACTGCCTGGCATATAGAAAGTTAATGTTAGTTTTGAGGTATTATCTGATACCCTTGCCTTTCTACAGCTTTTTATGTCTTTTTAGTATGTGGAAGAAGGTCCTTTGTAGCATAATTGACCCTGACCTTGTTTTTTTTCCTAAATCATATGCCAGCCATGGCCTTTGTAATTAGCCAGGACACTTTCTGTCTCCTGTAAGCAAGGCTTAAAGCTAAACAAGCAGACAGGGCCAGTGATGCACAGTTCATGAAGGATCCACTAATGAAACACAATGATGGCTGCAGACACGCTAACCCTCTGCTGTATGCCTGGCAAGTGGTCGATGCCCAGTAAATATTTGTTGAATTGAATAGATGAATTTAGCAGGGTTCTTATTATCTCCTACATTTTATTTATTTTTGATCAGGTAATACATTC